TTTTTTTACTTTTTGGCAATGGAAACAAATTTTATAACCAATTGTGGAAAAAAATATCACTTTAATGAACAATTTTCATGTAAAACAAAGTCAAACGAATAGAAAATTTAAAAATTTTTCGGGTGGAAAATTATACCAATCAAACACACTTGAAATCATTTTCCCTGCAAAACATTTTCTAGGCAAATCTTTTCCCTATAAAACATTTGCTTTCCACCCATTTTCCACACTTGCAATCAAGCGCACCCTTATATTCATCTCTTGTTTCTTGTTGTGCGTATCTGTTCCTTTTTCCTACCTTCATTTATTCTTTTTGGTCGATTACTTTCCGTGTTTAGGATTATGAACTTTCAACGAGATTCCTTTAATTTTTTATTTCTTGTTTATGCTTTTGTATGTTTGTTCCTTTTTTTTTACCTATATTTATATATGTTTCATTATTTCTCTTCTGTGTTTAGGATTCGTTGATTTCCAATGAACATGTTCAACAGAAATTGTTATTGCAAGGATGCAAATGGATTCGAACTCAGTACGTACATGTATTTACAGCTCTTTTGAAATTTTTGAGGTTTATTTCTCGTAGTTAAATTTCATTTATGCAAATTTTTCAACTAAGAAGTTCATCTTGCATTTGTTAGCATAGAATTAGATAATTACTTACCTTTTATTCTTTGCTCTTGAGTGAGCTGGCACTATAGTTGACATTAAATTAAAACATTTAGGGGTATTGATAACCAAAATTCTTTTTTTCTTTTTTACTACATTACCACTTCATGATTACCCTGCATTAACCATCTGACTCCTCATTCCTTCTATTTGATTTAACTTTCATTAGTTGGAGTGTATTCCAAATATAACCATACATTCATTTTTACATTCTCATTTATGCAAGAGCAATGACATTTTTGTACATAGGTAATACAATAATGTAAGAATAATTCTATTTGTACATCAAGAATTGTACATAAGGGTGTACACTCCGCTCACATGAGGTGGGACCCACTTGTATAAAATATTTTTTTATTCAAGTGGGTCTCACCCCCATGTGAGGGAAGTGTACACCCCTATGTACGTTTTAATGTACCGGTAGCAAAATCGATAATGTAAAACATAGTTCGTCTCATAACTTACCTTTTAAGTTGGTAGGCATCTTTTGACAGCATAGAATCCATGTCATTCCAACCTACCTTGTTTGTTACATTTTTTTTCTAAATTAGGCTTGGGTACTGAATATGCTCTATTCCCTTAATCTATTGTCGATTTTCGACTTTGTTTTTTTATTAAGGATTGTTCAATTTAGTGATAAAGATATTAATGCTGCAAAATTTTATTAATCCTTCCACTTCAAGGCTATTGTCTGAGGCACCCTGTATTTCACTATCTTTTCATTAGTGGCACACTTTGCAGCAGCTGTTGGTGCCTATAGTTCGTTTCAATTATTCTCGACAGATGACAAAATATCGATAGATGAGTTGAGTCATCTGTCGATATGAACTGTTGTTCTAGACAGATGAACTGTCGTTCCTAATAGTTAAAGGTACTATTTCTCGACATATGACAGCTTCTCGACAGATTAGTTTGACAATCATATGTCCACACGTCCAACTTGGGTCCATCCGAACATTACACGTGTTGTTTTTTTTTGGTTTTTTTTTTTTTGCTTTCAAACACGTGTGTTTTGCATTATCGAAAGTTGAGGAATTGTTGTTGGATCAATATCGAAATGCAACTCCGAACAGTCAAACTTGAAATCAGCCAGCATGTGACCTCGAAATTTGCAAGACTAAAGGAGTTCATATGTACACATGTGACCCCGTCCGATTCTATGCGGCAGATGCATGTGAGATCAGAGCTATCGAAAATGTATAGTAAGGTATGTGTGTTAATTGTTTAAAAGTTCAGATTAATAAATATTCTCAATCATTTCAGTAGTATCCAAACTAGAAATCGACGATATGTCTATTAATATTGCAACTGATATTTTCACATAGCTGGAGGAGGCATCGACCCCAAAGGTGTGTGCCCCGATTAACTAGGAGGATCCATTGCCTATTGAGAATAGGAGGTGAATGAATTCAACATTTTTAAATACTCTCTTCTTATTCCCTAGTATACAAATTAGAAATTGATAGCATGTCCGTTAATATTGTAAATTTTGTTTTCAACTAGACAAATGAAGCATAGAGCCCGAAGTATCATGCCTAAACAATGAGAAAGTTCCCTCAGGTTGTCACGTGATGGAGGCAAATGGTATGTTTTTATTGGAGAAGTTATACTAAGTTGAATTCTGATTATATATTATAAGCATGTTGAGTTGAAAACTAATGTTCAATGTCTTCTCATAATTTAAATGCAGATAGTACTACAATGCTTGATGATGTCACGGAGGAGGAAGAGAGTCAAGAATTAGTGCCTGAGAAATTTGTTAATACTATGATAAAAACTATTTGGTGGTTGTGTACTAAATGACTATAGTAGGGACAATTCTCCAAGAATTTGATTATAAACACGCTTTGATGATTTTCTATATATGTGTTTATGCATCTCCAATAGTTTGACAATCATTGATGTGGGCAAAATTTGCATATATCATCGGCTATAATTATTTATTGTAGTTTTATCGTGGATTCATATGGTAACCTCTATACCGAATGTTGCGCAACAACATATCCCTTATACATCTTATATGTAGTCAAGTTTTGCAACCAACTATCGAGAATCACAAAATCTCCTGTCGGGACCGAAAGTTTAACTTTCGCAATGTGATGAAATATTTTGCTTATGAACTTAATCACAACTAATGTCTTTAGACAGTAATGAAACGTCGGTGATAATATAACTGCAAAGCATATAGCACCAACATTGTCACATGTAAAAAACAACCATGGACAAATTAGGAACATAAATATTTTGTAGAGACCGACAGTTGAACTATCAGAATGTAATGAAGTAATATGTTTATTTGAGAACTTTACTGTGAAGTTATTGCTACTTGACCGATGTTTGCAAATGATAATGATAATATAACTTAAAAATGTACAACGTCATCATTCAGTCATGTAAAATTCAATTTCAACCAATTTCAGACATCAAGCCTATCTACGTGAGTGATGTTATAATGGGATTGGAACATGTGGTCCGGTTATAACCAACTATACCACATCAAGTACATTTCCTGATTCGTAAGGTAAACTTGTATCAAATTGCTTGAATCGTGTAGTTGATTTTGTTCTCTCCACTTCTATTTGTCATCCACATGAACAAACTTTCCCTCATGTGAAACGATTAATCTCAAATGATTACTCATACTTGAAAAATTTAGATTGCAATGGTAAGAATTATGCAAAATTAATAAGTCAGTATTTAATAGTATGAAAGTGACACATTCAA